CTTAGATGGTATTGTTATCAAATTTGCAGATGACACAAAACTGGGAGGGACAGCTAATATACTAGATGACAGCCAGGATCCAAAAATATCTTAACAGGTTATAATGTTGGGCTAAATACGGAGCTGTGCTAGAGTCGGTTAGAACTAGCTTGCAAGAGCTGATTGTTAAATTTCCAGTGTGAGCACTTACACCTCAGAAATTGGCAAACAGTATAAATCATGGCTTGAATGATTGTTTTGTTGATTGTCTAGATTTAAGTGATGCAGAAAATGTTAATATGTGATTAAATTTTAAAATGTGTCTTGTATACATTTCTCCTGAAGAGTCAGTTGTTAAAACATCTGCCAGTACATCCTTAGCTAAAAATCTAATAAATAAAATGTTATAAGGATAAATATAATTTCTTTTTTTAAAATAAATTTATTTTTAGTTTTCAACATTCATTTCCATAAGATTTTAAGCTCCAAATTTTCTCCCATCTCTCCCCTCCCCCTACCCCAAGACAAGTAAATGAATATAGCCTCAACATATACATTCATGATAAATATAATTTCTTAAACTTGGGTTAAAAGGAACTATTTCATAAGAAGATGGAGGAGGCATGGTTAGATAGTTTTTTCCAAAAGAGATCTTGAGGGTGTTAATGATTGACTTAGAATAAGTCACTTTGAATCAACATAGTGATAAGTTAGCAAAAAGGTAATGAGATCTTGGGCCACATCAAGAGAAGCATAACTTCTAGGAATGAACAGGCATTAGGTCATCTGTCCTCAGCTCTGGTCTAGGTATTGTGTTCATTTCTGGGTATTAGTTTAGGAAAGGCATTATTGAGATGAAGGGCCTCCAGAGGAAGGTAATCAGAATGCTGAAAGGGCCTCTTGTCTGTGCCCTGTGAGAAGCAATTGAAGTGACTGGTAATGTTTAGCTTGAGAAGAAAACACTTGGGGGACTAAGGAGAGAGCAGGATAGGACTTGACAGCTGTCTTTAATATGGATTGGACTTTTTTTTTTTTTTTTTTGGCCGTGCAGGGCAAAAATAGGAACAATGGGTGGACATCATAAAAAGAGGCAAATTTAGACTTGATGTCAGAAAAATTTCCTAATAATTAGAGCTATCCAAAAATGAAATGGACTGCCTTGGGAGGTAGTTTTTTCATCACAATGAAAGGTTTTCAGACAGTGGTTGATTGACCAATTATTGGGTATGTTACAGTGCATATTCTTTTTCAGGTATGGGTTGGACTATATGGCCATTGAAGTTTCTTCTAATCCTTAAACTCTGTGATTCATTTCTTATCTCCACAATCAATAAATACAAAATAAAGTTAAATATAATATCTGATTAACTGGTGAACCGTCATGATTTAGATATGGATAGGAGGCACAATAATCCATAGTATTGGACCTGGAGTTAGGAAAATCAGAGTTCAAATCCTGCCTTAGACCCTTAGTCGTGTGAACCTGCACAAGCTACTTAATTAACGTTAAGTCTCAGTTTCCTCATCTATAATGTGGATTTCATAATAGCACCTAATAATAGCACAGGATTATTGTGATGGTCAAATGAGAATATATATGTATATATGTATGTATATGTATGATGTACATACATGTATACTATATAGATGTAGATATAAATAAATAAAATCTTTACAAACCTTAAAAATCTATATGAATGTCAACTATTATTATATAGAAATGTGCCTAATTTAGAGAATTGTCTTAGAAACTTTCCATTTCATGGGAGGAGGCTGAATAGACAGTTTTCATTATAAATTAGAAACTCTTCAGCATGCCTATTTTATGATAGACTGTTAAACATCTTGTATGTATAAGGCTTTGTGGGGAATGTACAAGAAGCGCGTGTACCAGGCATGATCCCAGCCCTCAAGAACTTTATAGTTTATTTCATAGGTTCATAGATTTAGAGCTGGAAGGGACCTTAGAGATCCTCTAATTCATCCCCCTCATGTTGTAGATGAAGAAACTGAGACCCAAGGAGGTTAGATTATGAGACTTGCCTAAGGTCACACAGGTAGTAAATAATATGCTTTGAATCCAAGTTTTCTTATTCCAAAGCTGGTGCCAGCACAACTAAAATAGATAGTAATCAATGATATCACATAATTGCCAAATGGATGATAGGCAGCAGGGAAAGTGAGATGAGAGTCTACAGTAAGTCAGGCGTATTTAGGAGAGATGTTGATTAACTTTCTCCCTCTAAAAAGAGTTGAAGTTTGCTAAGTAAAATGTCTCAAGTTAATTAGAAGGAAAGTAAAGGAATTCATGTAGTATCTATCTTACACAGTTATAGAAAGTGTTACAAAGTTAGGGCCTATTCAGCATGAACTCATTTTAACATTTATCCATTCATTATCTACCATATGTAAGACTTTAAATGTTAAGTGGGGGAAATATAAAGATCAATCAGGCATAGTCCCAGCCTTCACGTAGTTTCTAGTTAGTCTAGTAGGGTGAGATAAGATATGGAAGCCTTTGTTCAGGGTCATTTGTCTTAGACATTCTTTCTAACCAGAGCAACCATTCTGATGACTGTTACTTGGACCATTTATAATATGGAAAACATTTTAACATCTTTTTTTGTACTTGTATTCTATATTATAGGAGATAAGATAGCAGAATCATAGCAGAAAATGGATAGTCAACATAGTATGATTAAGAAAAGTTATCAACAGCTTACTTTTGTCACTAATATTGGCTTTTTAAAATGACAACGTTAATCAAATCTTTCTGCATAGTATGCACAAGAGAAAATCTTGAATTATTCTGTAATATGTACTCTGCAAACAAAGTGCCTTGCATACATAGTACTACATATTTGATGAATTTAATTAAATTAGATGAAAGTAGTGGCAGTGTCAAAGGGGGCATGGTTTTTCTTATAGACCATATAAAAGGTAGACATTTTTATTCCAACAGAATGATTGCTAGACTTGGAGTCAGAGTACCAGGTCTCAAATCTCAGATTGTATATTTATTACCTGAGTGACCTTGGGGGGAAAAATCACTTAGGAAACTTGGTTTCTTTATCTCTAAGAGTTGGATGAAATGACCTCTGAGGGTCACATATATACATACATTCATATGTGTGTGGGTCTGTATATATACATACATAACATATATATCTATATCTATATCTCTCTCTATATAAATTTTGTCTCATTTCTCCACTATGTCTACTATCGAGTTTATAGCCAATATTTTTGCTGTCATAGTGAGATTAATTAGATATTTCTTAGAAATACAATGAATTTCCCCTTTTTAAACATAAAAATTATTTTCATTAGGTTTTTTATAGTGTACCTTCAATGTACTAAACAAAACATGTTTCAGATATAGACAAGTAGAAGAATAAACAAAAATGTATTGTAGTTATTCTGGAATGATAAACAGAGCCTTTGATTAGTAATGGACTAGGAATGAGCTAATTCTTCACTGATAGTAACACAATTATTAATTCTAATAAAAATGAAATTAGTAGAGATGGAGCACAGACTCATTTCCCTCTTCAGAGATCTGAAAATATCTTTATTAGGAGGATATATAGCAGTGGATAGAGTTCTGGGCCTGGAATTAGGAAGACTTATCTTCCTGAGTTCAAATCTGGCCTTAGACACTTACCAGCTGTGTGATACTGGACAAGTCACTTAACTCTGTTTGCCTCAGTTTCCTCATCTGTAAAATGAACTAGAGAAGGAAATGGCAAAGCACTCTAGTATCTCTGCCAAGAATACCCCCAAATGGGGTCACAAAGAGTCAGACACAACTGAACAACAACAACAAATATAATGTCCATGAACTTAAGGTGACTTTTCTATGTAGTTTTAGCTTTTTATTCATGTTTTCAAATTGTTTAAGCTTTTTTAATACCTCTCATTAGGATTGGTGAATTAATTTTTGTTATATTTAAAAAGCCCTACAGTATTGCTGCAAGTTATCTCTGATTTCATCACTGTGGGCATTCCCTCACCAATAAGATGCCAACCCTTTCACACACTGTAAATACTTTTATGAATTACCATGGTCAAAAAGATGTGTCACCTGATAGATAAGATAACTAGGTTTACATATGAAAGCTATATACCTTAGTTTGTCATCAGACCTCTACTCAAAGTTTTTTCAGTCGAGTAAGAGCCTTCTGCTCTTTTGCCATTTGCTATAAAAGGTTTTATCCTGATCACTCCAGTTGTTAACTTCTTTTTCCACCCCATACCTCAAATTACTTTGCATGTAGTTTTCATTCAAGAGGAAGCTTGGCAGAGTAGGAAGAGGGTTGACCTTCAAGTAAGAAAGACCGGGGTTCATTCAAATCCTGCTTGTGAAACATAACTGGCTGTGTGATTGTGGGCAAGTTACTTTCTCAGTGCCCGCAATAAATTTGGTAACACTGGAAGTCACAGAGAAGATACCAACATTGGTTTTTACACTAGGATTTTCTACACTATTGAGACCACAGGTCCAGACCAAAAAAAATTATCTTTACTTACCTATGTGAGTGTGATTTTTTTTCCCCTAGTAAAGGTTAGTAAGTTCTTTAAGGGCAGGGACAGTTTTGTTTTTGTGCCTGGCATGGGGCCTTGTACTTATTAAATGCTTAATGAATTATATTGCACTTCCCTGGTATGTAGTCTTCAAGCATACAGTGGCTAGCTCCTTGCCATAGTTAGGCATCAGAAAATCACTTTAAAAGTTGTTCCTATTATATTATTTTTGTATTCTATATTTCATTGTGTATTTTTAGGGCTTAATTTTAAAAGTGACTCAGCTTTTATAATGTTGGGGGTCAGAAAATTTTCAAAAGTATTCTTAATTTATCAAAGTGCATTAAAAAAAACCCCAAATATGTAGTCATTGATTATTAGCTTAATTTTGTATCAGATTAATCATATTGGTTTAAACTGAAATAAAGTTTTGTATGAACCTTGACAAATTCATTAGTATTTTCTTTGTATGATTTGCTCATTTCCTTTCCCTATAGAAATATATTGCTACTGGAGAATTGGGGAAAGCTACTGATACACTGGATTCAACAGGGAAAATTACGGAAGAAAAACCTTATGGTAGGAAGTAAGCTTTATATTTTACTTCACATTAAACCTTTACATTACATTTACTTAGATTTTACTTAACATTTCGTTTTAACAAGAAGAAGAGAAATGGAGGCTTCTCTGAGCTCTGTTTTAAATTTAAAAACAATCTTAATAAGTGATTTCAATTTTCCAAACAATTTACATAAACCAAAGAAGATCAAAATGAGTGGATTAGTGAATCTGTTACCTTTTAGATTGCTATTTTCTTGAGAACAGAGAAACATGTATTTTTATCTCCTTCAGTGCTTAGCTCAGTGCCTTGTATTTAATAATCAAATGAAATAACCCATAAAGATCTTTGTAAACCTTGTACTACATAAATTTCAGCTATTGTTAATAATAAATTTAGGCCCTTAATAAATATTTTAATGAATGAACACATGGATTGGATTACATTCATTAACATTTTTCATTAAAATTGCTTCATTTGAAACAAATCTTGAGGGAGACCATTTCAAAATGACTCCTCTACTTTCCCTTCTTCATTCCAACTTCCTCCTCAGATCCTTTTGTAGTTGCAATTTTGAACTTTTTTTCATTTTTTTACCTACGTTACAATCTGTTTTACAGACTACTTTGTACTATTTAAGCAAGCCCATTAATTTTTGTATATAGGGTCACTGTTTTAAAACTAATTCTTTCCTCTTGTTATTGGAACATGTAAACATATGGCAGAGAAAGAGTATTTTCTCTTGGAAGTAAAATAGAACTAATTGGGGCCCATCTTAATTTATCTACCATCCCCTTTTTTTACTACTCTAAAAGAAAGATAAATGAAATGGTCTCCTAGCAACCTTCACAGTGCACATTCTATTTATAACAACAGTAGGTTTGTACAGTAAGTTCACCCCCATTATTCTGTCACAAAGTGTGAATTATTTGTAGGGTTTCTGTTTTTTTAACTCTTGCCTGTGGTTGATATTTTTCCCACTTGACTCAGTTTCAGGAGATGAATGCTTACCTAGTCTTCCTGTGTTCTTGTGTTGAGTTACACCATTGTCCCGTTAGGAAAGTGTTTAGGTAGGTGCTGGAACTCATTTACCTTCCTAGCTGTTAGAACTTCAGCTCTGCACTTTCTTTTGTACCTTGTTTGATCAATCAGCAAAATTTAAAATGCACTTACGTATCCTTAGGCTTTCTTTTAAAGCAGAGCTTTTGAATTATATTGCAATTCAAGTATTTTAAAAGTTATTTTGTACATATATTTTGAAAATATGATAAAATTCCAATTGGAAATCTTTTTTTTTTTCTAGGTAGGAAGGGTGAATACCATGTAAATATACTCATCTCAAGAATTTAATAAAAATAAAATTAATTTCCTACTATACTCTGCTTCCATGAACATTCAACAGTCTCCTTCATGTACATCTATAGTACTGTAGTGAGAACTGACATATAGATAATTCATTGTTATGATCCTAAAGCACTACAGCCTATACTTTACTTAGGTAATAATAACACTAATATTTATTTGAAAGATTTTCGTAAGGGTTCAGACAAAAAGTAAAATCAATTCTCAGTTAATTAGAATATTTAATTCACCTGTCCATATGACTAAAATTTTTTATTGTAATTTGTATTTATGTAACATAGTTTATATTAGGTAGTAGCCATATTTTACATATTTTAGTAAAGGCGTGGCCAGATTATGGTAGACTTTGAATACAAGGTCAGTAATATTGGGATTGATGCAACATTGAAGGATTCTGAACATAGGTTTCTGATAACCTATAATAGTCTACTTAAAAGTTCCCATTAATTGGGTTATTCTTTGATTTTATGTTTCACATGTAAAGGTTTTGCCATAACAACTTCCAACATGCACTTTTTTTCTTGTTGCCTTGACTGATTTATGAATCATTGCAGTGTTATCATTAATGACACTGTTTTAAACAGCTGCTGGACATTGTGATAAGCATTTGCCATCTGTGTTTTAGAAATATTCATTTGGTAGGTATCAATAGGAATTGTGATCGATGTTGTGGTGGAGCTAGAATTTTTCTTCATGGAATAAATTCTCTCATATGCCATGAGATGTCAGAGAAGAATTGAATCAAGAGAAGGAACACTTAAAGAACATAGAATAAAGCCTGCTAAATAAAAGTTTATTCCTAGTGAAACTTGCCTTTTTATGATGGTGATATGAAACTATTTCTTTTTTTTTTTATTTTTATTTTTGAGATTGAGTCTCCCTATCTTGCTTAGGCTGGAAAATTTAACCTGTTCCATTTTTAAAATTTGGGCTTGTTTGTCCAGCCTTGGGCAGCCTAATGGCCCAATACTCCCATGGGCTCACCATATTAGTCTAGACTTAGTGTGGCCACCTAATCAATTTTAGCCTTAACTACAACTCAGAACTCCCAAATTCAAGTGATCTACCATCCTTGGTCTCCCCTAGTAGAAGAGAATATAGACAAGCAACTATTTTGAAGCACTTGAATATTGCCAAAGTACTTGGTCTTAGGATTTCCTATACTTTGAATTTTTTCTGTTCCTATTTGAATTTAGTAAACTTTAGCTACCCATTCCTCTGTAGCTTTCAAGAATTGAGGTCGAAGTAAGGTCAGTGTTGCTTTTTTAGTATTAAAGTTTGGGGATGGGACGTCTTGTTTTTCTTTCTTTTTTTTTAAAATTTGATCAATCTGTAGAGCCCTTGGTATGACAAAGGCTTGTATACAACTTCAATAGAGATTAATCATGGGATTTTTGTTTGCTATTTGCCATATAAGATCTCTTGTAACAAATCTATACTAGAATAAAAATTATTAAGATATAATTCCCAAAAGGTGGAAGAAAAAGTAGGAAAGGAGACTAGTGGGAGTGTTGTGAACATGTGATGCTGCTGACTGTGCCCACAAATTATATAATTTTTCTGTGATTTAGATTGCTTATCAATATTTGGAAACTAGTTTAAAATCTTCAGATCTCGGCAGTTATGAAAATCTCCAAAAGTAGTAACAGTAACTATTGAGCTAAAGTTTACATTGAACTTTTGAAGTTCTTTAGTGACAGAAATATGTGTGTACTATTTTATATGAAAAAAGATAGAACCAAAAAGAACTGAAAACAAATGTCAAAAGTTGGATATTCTCTGTCTCAAAGTGTAAATTACCTAGTGACTGCATTCCTCTCCTTGGTTCCCCTTCCAGATAGATTTTTTGTTGTTGTTTTAAGGTGATTTGGAGATGGTGAGGTAAAAGTCAAGAAGAAGCAAGAACAAAGACAGCTGCTTGTTCATTTAAACAAAACTAAATCTAAGAATAAGTTTATGCCATTTTAGTAGTTTTCTGAATCTGACAGGTGACAAGGTAGGGTAGAGCATAATCCTCATTGAGACATTAAAATATTTGGCCCCTAACACATTGCCTGATATATGCTGCAGAGTGTTTATCTTTTTTTATTTTCTAAGATATTGATCACTGCAGGACAAATTGAAGGATTTTTTATTTTCATATCTTCCCAAACCCTTAGTAAGCATTGACGAAACACATTGATGGTCATTGGCCCATTTTTTCATGGAAACTAGGACAAAAAAAATCTAATCTTTAAAAAAAAATGCCTTTTTTCCCCATTTCTCACAGCAGTATTTATTTTGCTATTTCATGTTTTGAGAAGTAAGATATTGGTAGGTAATGTGTATATCATGGTGCAGCTTTAAAAAATAAAGTGAATACATTTGTAGAGCTTTGTCAGCATTATGAAAATGACATATATGTTTCTTTTGTCATGTGTAGGTAGAGTCAATATTTGTTTTCTTTCACATTTGGCAGATCAGATAAAGCAAGAAGATATTGAAGGTATTCTCCAGAAATTTACAGGAAACATAATGCAAGTACCTCCTCTGTAAGTTAATATTAATAATAGTAAACTTTTAATGTTTTCCACAGTAAAAAAGAATCATTTGAGTTCCTTTTATGTGTAATATGGTATCAGCAAAACATCCATTAAATATGATAGTGAGTGATCAGATGCATACGATATTAATTTAGACAAGATCCTGTGAACATTTTAATAATCTCTAAGAAATGCTATCATACGATAGAGAACACAGGAAGTGGTCTATCATCCAGATCCTGTGAACATTTTAATAATCTCTCAAGAAATGCTATCATATGATAGAGAACACAGGAAGTGGTCTATCATCCAGGCCTAGGTGTCGACATAACATGTTATGTGAGTGAACACTAAGCTTTGAGATTATATTTATAATATTTACTATCACTAGGCCTCTTTTTCTAACAGCAGATCGTATTTTCAGCACAGCTGTTTAGAGGTCACTGTTCCTATCTAATCTGAACTGATTCAGGGATATGTGTGAAAGGCATCTGAGAGTCTAATGCGCAATAGAGTGACTGAATAACAGAGTATGGAGACTGCTTTCAAGGACTAACAGCTTGCATTTCCTCATTTTCTTTTTTCTTTTTTTTGCTGAGGCAATTGGGGTTAAATGACTTGCCCAGGGTCACAAGCTAGTAAGGTCAAGTGTTTGGTCTGAGTTTGGATTTGAACTCAGGTTCTCCTGACTCCAAGGCCAGAGCTCTATCCACTGTGCCACCTAGCTGTCCCTCATTTCCTCATATTGCTAAGACAAAGACCAAGAATGTGTCTTCTGGCAGGCACAGATATGTTTCTGTATTTGTTAAATATAGTCTCTGAGTACATGGACATACAGGGATGAGATTGAATGGACATTGATTAATTATTATGTTTATTAACATTTGTTTGAGTATACTACTTGTTGTGTTGGCTAGTTTTCAGAAGGACAATTGAATCCCTGTGAAAAGTATTCTAAATGATTTAAAAGAATATCTAAATGATTAAATTCACAATAACTTACAGTATTTTATTTCATTTGGGTCATTAAAAGATATTTAATAATAATATTATTATTATTAATTAAAATTATTAATAAAAAATAAGATAAGTAACAAAATAAAAATGTACCCAAACAAGGTTTAGTCCTGAAAAAGACACTGATTAAATTAGTTTCCCTTATTTGGAGGGAAAGAAAACTGTAACTTGCTATACTGTAATGTTTGGGGTCACTTTTGACTTGAAAAATAGTAAATGTTGGCTGAAATATAAATTGCATTAACAGGAGCAGTGTGAATTGCACTTTGGACCTAATGATTAAGTATTTATTTTTTTGAATTTACTGAAGTCTGCTTTTAGTATCTTCTTTATAGTAGTTGCTTCAAGGCTTTCCTGTTTCTAATCATAAAGCTTGACCACACAACGAGATTTCTTAAGTGGACCATTTATTTGTTTTTTAATAACATTCAGCCAGAAATCTTAAAACATGAAAACTTCTTCTACGTGAAAATGAAGCACTTTCATTATTTGAGAAGTCATGAATAATCACATCATTGTTTTAGTAAATTTTGGTCATGGTTCCCTGAGAAATCTTACTTCATTCTTTCACTCTAGTCCACCCCATTCTCCTTCCTTTCATTCTACAGAATTCTGAAGTTTGGGGTCATGGTGCTAGGGACCACAGAGAACTGGACCAAGTCCACCAGGGAATTGGCTGAAGATTGGAAGTGGCACCATTGCTCAGTAAATGCCAGGATAAGATATATTAGCTTCAAAGATGTTTAAGGAATTCTCATTATCTCTGATACCATCATGACGTAAAAAATATTAATCCATTTTACCAAAAGTGAAATTTAAGTTTGACAGGGTGGAATGATTTGCTTCAATTAATGATAGATTTAATTCAGGGCAATCAGTTATTTGTGTACTACATTAACATCTGATGAGATTTTTTTCAACCTTTGTTAGCTATTCTGCTTTAAAGAAAGATGGACAGAGACTTTCTACTTTGATGAAGAAAGGTGAAGTAGTAGAGGCGAAACCTGCCAGACCAGTCACAGTGTACAGCCTCTCCCTTCAGAAATTCCAGCCACCTTTATTCACATTAGGTAAGGGAAGAAGTTTAACGTGCTAGTGACTCAATTTTCATGCGTTTTATTTTATTGTTAGATGCCCCATGGAATACAACGAAGATTTGTGTGTGTGATTATTAGACAATTTTTCCTAAGCAAAAATTTCCAAATTTCTTTGCTTTCTTTATAACACAGTTTAGGAGGTGGCCACAGTGATGTGGGGACTTAAAAATACTTTTCTAAATAGGCTGTGATTTTTATTTATCAAACTATCGATATATAAAGTTGGGATTGTTGGTCATGTGTCTTATTTTCAGATAACAGTATTTTATATTTTATAACCCTTTCCTCTTTTTGCTTATACCAAGTAGTTTCTCACCAGTGTTAGACTTAATTGGCATGAAATTTCTCTTGGGGGCAAGGGACTTTCTGAGAATGGTATAGTGTAATATTTGCTGATTTTGGAGTCTGAAAAACTGGATTTGAATCCTAGCTCTGCCACCACCCACATGACCTTTGGTACCTCTGGGCTTGATTTGTCTCATCAGTAAAATAAGGGGATTAGATTAGTTGACCTAGAACATCCTTTATTGCTCTGAATCTATGATCCTATATGGTAATTCATCAGAATTTCTTTTCTCCTTATAACCTAAAACATTTGTAATTGAAGATCCTTGGTAATCTGGAACTAAATGGAAAGGAGTATGTCTACTTAGGAAAAATCAGATTTATATTTAGGTTATGACATTTTTTAGCTTTTCCTTACCCTGTTTGCCTCTCCCTGAAAAATAATAATTCATAAAATTCATATAGTCTAGACTAGGGGTGGGGAACCTGCTGCCTCATATGGCCCTCAAGTGCAGCCCCTTGACTGAATCCAAATTTCATAGATGTTACAGATAATTACTTTTCACCTGTTCCTAAATGGTTTTACTTTTTAAAGTCATATCATACTCAGGTCTACCCCTTTAACCTCTTCCCTCACCCTCCCCTTTAGAGATGCGTTCCTTATCCTCTCCTCCCTCCCTATCCCTTTACTGTTTTATTTCTTCTGAATTTAGAAGACTTTTATACTCTTCTAGATATATACGTATTATTCCTTCTTGAACCCACTCCCGATGAAAGTAGGTTACCAGAACTACCAGTCTCCTCCCTCATCTAATTCTTTTGTTGATTCTTCCTCTTGCACCTCATTTGTATAAAATAATTATTCTTTTTAGCTGTTCTGAAATAGTTTTACTTTTTACAGTCCTATCATACTTGGATCTCCCCCAATTTTTCTTACAAACTACCCAGTTACTCAGAAAAATCTTAGACATACGTTGTTATATTTTATATATGTAAAAGGTAAACGATCTGTCCTTATCGAATCCCTTGTAATCAGTCTTTGGTATGTACCTTATGTTTCTCTTGGCTCTTGTATGGCAAATCTTCTGTTAAGTTCAGGTTTTTGTTTGTTTGTTTTCTTTTGTTTTTCTTAACAAAGTCCTTTAAGTCTGACAGTTGATCAGATGTCTTTTGTTTTTTCATTCAGCATTATGCTTAACTTTTCTGGGTATGATATTTTCGACTGGAACCCTAGTTCTTTTGCTCTTCAGTATATAATGTTGCAAGACCTGTCGTCCTTTAGTGTCTCCCCTGCTAGGTCTTGTGTGATTCTAAGTGTGGCACCATCACATTAAAATTGTCTTTGTTTTTTTTTCTTGTTGCTGTTAATGACTATAATATTCCTATGAATTTTTCTCATAGAATCTCTTTCAAGTGGTGATGAATTTTTTTCTATTTCTACTTTCCCCCCTTGTTCTAATGCTTCAGGACAATTTTCTTGAATTATTTCTTATATTATTGTATCAAGATTTTTTTTTTTTTATCATAGCTTTCAGGTAGTCCGATTATTCTTATTTTTTCTCTTTTTGATCTGTTCTCCAGTTCAGTTGTTTTTCTTATAAGATGTTTCACTTTCTCTTCTATTTTTTCATTCTTTATATTTTGTGTTATTATTTATTGATCTCTTTTAACTTCTCTGGCTTCCCCTTGCCCAATTCTAATTTTTTTTTTTGGGTGAGGCAATTGGGGTTAAGTGACTTGCCCAAGGTCACACAGCTAGTAAGTGACTAGTGTTTGGTTTGAGGCCAGATTTGAACTCAGGTCCTCCTGACTTCGGGGCTGGTGCTTTATCCACTGTACCACCTAGCTGCCCCCCAATTCTAATTTTTAAGGTGTCATTTTCTTCCTTAAGATTCTGGATCTCTTTTCATAATCTTGTTTTTCTTGATTGTTCTTATTTTCTTTTTTTAGTTTTTCCTCAATCTCTTTGATTTTTAAAGTCTTTTTAAAATTCTTTTTTGGGCAGGTGACCATTTGACATTACTCTTTTGCGATAGAAGAGGGTTTCTTTGCTTCACCATCCTCCTCTGAGGTCTTCTCAGTTTTCTCTATTCCCATAATAACTTTCTATGGTTGGATTCTTTCTCCTTTGATTGTGCATTTTTTTTTTGTAGTAATAGCTTAAGTTTTGTAATCACCTCTAGTCCTGGGGTATGTTCTGTGAAGTTTGGTTTTGGTCAAAGGGCTGCGCTTGAGAACCTAGAGGGCCAGATGAGGCTGCAGATTGTCCACTCCTGGTCTAAATCTTAGATATTTTTTTGGGGGGGGGTGATGTTTATTTTTGTCCTGGGAAATATATGTACATTTCATAATCTCATAATCTTCCCTCCTACAGTAATATTTATGTATAGAACTTGAAACATACTTGATTTTCAAAGAGCCAAGGATTTAGTTAGTCTCTAGGCCCTCTTTAATTTTATTAAGTCAGTTCACAGGGCATATTAGAAAAGATGCCTTAAGAAATATTCTCCTAATTGGTTTTTGTTTCTAAATTTCATTTCCTTTTCCATTAGCATTATTATGTAACTTGTGTGCCTACAGGGTGCTGTACTTAACAGTTAAAAATTTCTTTTGTCTTCAAGAAGCTCTGATCGTAAATTATTTGAAAAATACATAAGAAACACAAAAATGAATAGTTTTAAAAAATTATTCCATGGAAAGTAATAGCTCTTTGACTGGAGGAAAAGATATTATCTTTGAAAATAACATATTTGAATGTGATTGAAAACCTAGATTTGTTTGTTACCTGGACTTAAGTTTTAAATATTTTTGTATAATAAAGGACATAACCATAATGACTGCCATGAGTACAAATGTGATGTTAGAATTCCATTACCTTTCTTTGGTCTTAAGGATCATTTTTGATCCTAAGAGTTATAAAGTTAATACTTATATGGAAATAAATGACCCTGTATGACTTTAGTACATATTAACAATTTATTATAAAATAAAAATATTAAAATCACCCAGTTGTTTTAATTTACTCTTCACATGACTGAAATACTGTATAGTTAAGACCAGAATAAAAAGGTAGCTTTTGAACAGCTAGCTGGTACAGTGGATCAAGAACTGGCCCTGGAGTCAGGAGGACCTGAGTTCAAATCCTCAGACACTTGACACTTACTAGCTATGTAACCCTGGGCAAGTCACTTAATCCTGATTGCCTAGCAAAAACAAAAAAAAGTAACCTTTTCTATTTGAAACATAGGGATCATTTACAAGAGATGCTCTGTTGATAGATGAAGCTTGTAAGAATATTTGTGAACTCCATACTAGGTACAGATTGACTATAGCCTTCTCTTCAAGCTATAAGGCCGTCAGTGTTAAGGAAGATAAGTTTTGGTATATGCTTAACTTGCATGGTTTCTCTGATTTGATTGGTTATTTTATGATTACTTGTTAAACAGTTATCAGCCAGTCACAAAAAGAAACTTTTAAAATGTCGTTTCTTTAGCTATAATGTGTTGTCCAGAATACAACCATGATCATTTGAGAAAAGATCTTGACCTGTTTGGAGTCTATAAGTCTGAAATATTTACTTTTAAAAATGCCTACTTTTCAGCACTGCAAAGTGAAATATTTAACCTTTTAAAACCTTTTAAATGAATTAGGCTGCAATATTTATTAAAATGCCATGACTTGCTAGTTAATTTAAAATGTGTTCATTGGGTTGCTTCTGTTTGCTTTCCCAGTACTCTGACTTTGCAATCTCTCACACACATATGCTTCAGGATGAATAATTTATCTTCTATCCCATGAATATTTCATCACTTGATTGTTTGCATAGTGCATTTTTTACATTTGTTTAGAGGCATCATTTCTATATAAAGTAGATTTCATGGAGTGTTTGCAATTTACCGTGTCACTGTTAACATTCCAGATGTTGAATGTGGAGGAGGTTTTTATATCAGAAGCTTGGTCAGTGACATTGGCAAAGGTAAGAATGGATGAAAAAGAATTACTACTTAGAGAGCTATATTCTTTTTTCAGTATTCAGTTTTTCTACATCTCTTGAGTACCAGCCCTATGTTCTGGACTCCCTTGCTTGCTTGCATTACAGTATTGTTAGGTTTATGGCCTGCAATTTCGAAACATCAGCAGTGGCAGTGAAATGCTTGTGATAAGATAAGAAGAGGAAGATAAAAAATGAACAGAAAAATAAGGGATTAGAAAATAAAGGGGCAAACAGTTTTTAATAGTAATTTTCAGTTCATTTTTTTTGTCCAGAATAGATGAAAATCAGTAATGATCTTGCCTTTTTTTTTTTTTAAACAACCCAATACATCTGGGTGAATTGCACTCGACTGAACCCTTAATGAGTCAGCTGTGGTCCAAAGGGGGCTATATAATTATCCTTTAAAAAGTTGTTGGGGGGGATGGTTCCATTTTAAAAAGGTATAAAACCAAAATCTCTTGAACCTGCAGAAATAATATTTATATTCTGACTTTCTCCAGTGAGGGGGGGGGAAGACTTTTCTCATTGAAAAAGAAAATATTATTTATTTTTTAATCCCAAGTGATTTTGTTGTGTGATTTATTCTTCTGGATTATTCTATTTTTATTTTTAAGTGAGATACATATATATATGAGATTTAAACCTTGATCTTACATAAAACAATATAAAATGTGAAATAAGAAACCTGTCTTAGGGGTTGTTTTTTCCCTTTTTTCTGCTGTAGAACTTTCTTCCTGTGCCACTGTGCAAGAATTGACCCGAACTAAACAGGGACCATTTACACTAGAGGAACATGCTCTTCGTGAAGACAAATGGACAATTGATGGAATAGCACAATCCCTAGAGCACTGCATGCCTCTTCTCTCAGTAGAACCTTCTGTTAAAAAATTAAAAACTGAAGATTCTAAAGTACAAGCTGTAAGCTCTGAAGACAAAACACTAAGTCAGGTTAAAGAAAACGATGGAGTTATTGGAACATCTTAAGATTGGACTGGGATTGTTATGTTTTCCTGGTTGAATTTATAATCTTTATGTGCAAAACAACAACCTGCATTGTTAAAAAAAAAAAATTCTCTCCCCTCTCTCTCTCTCTCTCTCTCTCTCTCTCTCTCTCTCTCTGCATGGAGAAAAAGTCCGTGATTTCTTATTTCTACAACATTCTGTTCATCTGATACATTGCATTATAAATGGGTTTATCAGTAATCTAACTTCTTTGCTATATCCTTAAGTGATCTTTTAGAATGTTTTTGTGTTATATTGACAATAAAAATTTTAAATCAAAATTTCAGAAAACTTAATTTTCTGAATTTAGGCACTCATCAGTAACCTACACCAATAAATAAGTTAAATGCATTTTCTAATCTAATGAAAACAGAATTGGTGTATTGTACTTTGTTTTCATAAATTCAAAATTATTTATTGGACTATTCAGAGAAATTTGTTGATAATCCACTGAAGACAATATCATGCTGAATCATTTTTTAAACAGAGCTTAAAATGGGCCTGTATGTAAATTCATTTGCTTCATGAACATAATTTTGGGGAATTAATCATTATAAAGAAACATTACCTGGATAAGACTATATCTACCTATAGCAATATATTTGTTAGTTTAAGGCTAGGTACCAACCAGATGCAATAAATATATATAAATGGACTCTAATTATAATTACCTACTGCCCTCATTAATAGGATTAAAATAGATAATGTACTCTTTATATTTATCGACGCAGATGATTATTCCATGAAAATAAAAGATAAAGCAATTAGGGCTTATTAAATCAGTAGGTAGCAAAGGGACTCTTGTGTTAGTGGTTGGATCAATGATACAGTAGACTTGACCTGCTCCAAGTCATTATCTAATGCAACATGTCCTTTATATTTTCCTTTTACATTGGGGATTTTGGAGCAGGGAACAGGAAAGATCTCTTCATTTATTTATTTATTTATTTTACTAAAGTAAAAGTAAGATATTTATCTTTTCTTAAAAAAAGCAAACTTTGAAAGATTTATTTATTTATTTATTTATTTTACTAAAGTAAAAGTAAGATATTTATCTTTCTCTTAAAAAAAAAAAGCAAACTTTATCCTTACCTGTGACATTTTTTAAAATTATTGTTTCAAGTGGTACTCATTGGCTTTGACCAAGATGGCTTCATTACATTTCTAGTTAGACTTCTCCTCTAAATAAGTCTTGATTATTATGCTTTTTTCATTGGGTTATACTGAGAGTCCCCCAACTCTTTGTACCACTGCAATTGCATAGTTTAGAAAGTATAGTCACTAACCAATATTCAAGTTTATAGGTGCTAGGGGCTTCATATTTTACTTTATAGGAAAGTGTAATGTATTATTCTGTCTTGAATATAGTCTCTCTTCACATTCTTATAGTTCAAAAACAAGACCATTAAAAATTTATTGAAATAATCATTTTAAGTTGTTTTATCCTCTAAAACATTTGATTATAATTCCACATTAAAAAATACAAAATAAATTAATTTTAATTATAGTTAATCTAACATTTACTATGAAATAGACATAATTGTTTTGGTAGACTATATCCCAATATAAAGAGTATAATAATGTATGTTTAATGAGAAGTTTTTTTAATTAATTTTTTCAGTTAAGTATTTCTTTTCTCTCCCTGCTCTCCACTAGGGAAACAAACAAACCAACCCTTTTTTTAATGAGTATGCCTAGTCAAAAGAACTCATATAGGCTGTGTTAAAAAGTGTGTCTCATTTTACATATTTAGTCTTACCTCCTTTTTGTCAGCAGGTGGGTAGCATTCCTTGTCATTAGTCTTCTGGAATCTTGATTGATCATTGCATTTATCAGAGTTAATGAGAAGTTTTTATGCCACTTGGTTTCACATACAGGATTAAAAAGAAATGGTTTTTAATGATGCTTTAATTGTAATAGCAAAATAATTTTTGAACTTCAAATTAAAAGTTTGTAATTTGAATTTAACTAAATTTAATGCCCTGTAACTTGTGAAAACTAGTGAAAGTATATATTTTAATGACATTATAATATCAATTCATGTAGTGACTGAGTTCAAATGATGTTTTTTCCTAATGTTGAGGTGACAGGTAATTGTGCAGTTCTATTTTATAAATTTCAGTGTATAAAATGACATTTATTGTTTTATATTCTTCTGGTCAGTTTGCAAAAATGAACCAACTAATTCAGTAGTTCCAGAGTCTCATGTATATCTTTCAAATATATGTTTTCAACTACATTCTTTCCAATCTTCCCCTTTCCTTTAAAGAAAAAATTTTAAGTTTATAATGAGTAAAAACGGTAAAGGATTCTTTTGTATTTACCTTAAATCCATAAACTCTTAAAGTTGAAAAAAGGATCTCAGAGGTCATTTAGTCACTATGTTGTGAGTAGGACTACCTGCTACAACGTTGTGGACATTCACTTGAATGACCATCCAGCACTCACTTGAAGGCAATCCATTCCATTTTTAGACAACTTTTTACTAAGAAGGTTTTCCTTACGTTAATTTGAAATCTCCTTCTGCAAACTCCTCCCATTTACCATTATACAGGTTGAAGCCTTCTTTAAAATTTAAAGACAACTATTACATCCGTCTACTTCTCTCTTCCACCCTTCTTATCACCATTCTCCAGATTGTCAATATACTCTTAGTTCCTTAAAGCGATACATAGTTTCAAGTCTTCATCGTTTTTTTGTTGCTATCTTTTTATGTTGTCAAGCTAGTCCATATCTAACTGTGAAATTTAAAGTGAAAGGATCAGAGTTCATCTGTCATCATATCTGGAGAACTGTGGTCTTAGCCTTTTTGGCTGCCAAGTCACAGTTGGTTAATATTGAGCTTGTGGTCCACCAAAGCACTTAACTCTTTTTCACATGAACGAAGTTTACTCCATCTTGTAGGCAATTTTTAAAATCCAAATGTAGGTCTTTACATTTCTCCCAACTACATTCCATCTTATTAGGTTTGGCTTCATGTCCTAGATTGTCATTTTTGTATCCCAGATCTGTCATCTAACTATTAAATATTCTTTCAGCTTTGTGTTATCTACAAATTTTCTAAACATCCTATGCTTGCCTTCATCTAGGATAGTGATAAAAATGAAAATCACCAGAAACCTCCTGAGTTTATATAGATCCATCTTTGGGTCCAGTTCAACCAGTTCTTGAATCCATTTAACATCATTCTGAATATCTTCATCTTGTCCACAGGAAGTGACAGACTTTTCAAATGCTTCCCTTGGTATACTATATCAGGCATTACTCTGATTTCAATTTAGTAAGCACTACAGGTGTTTCTTCCCCACCCTCACCAAGGGATTTTTTTTTCTTTTTTTTTTTTTCAACCATTGAGAAAGTTCTAAAATTTTAAAAGGACATTGCCCTGGCAGCTCTGTGGCCAACATAAATATTTTTGATATAAAAGGTTTTTCAAAATATGCCCTAACAGAAAAATCCCACATCATTTTATTTTGGCATTCTTAATTTCTGCTATTCCTAAACAATTTGTCTCACTTTGTTTTGAGAATTATAAAAAGTGATGTCAAAGAATGTTTACTTATGATGTTTCAGATTGATTATAAAGTAAAGCGTTAACAATTTGCACTTCCCTGATTTAAAACTCAGTTTAACCAACATTTAATCCCCATTGTGTGTAAAGTGCTGGGGATAAAGAGACAAAAATGTAATTGTCCTTGCCTTTAAGGAGCCTCCTATTAGAGGATACACAAATCCAACGTTTATTTGAAGTTATGCCAAGTTATTTTAAGAGAAAGCTGAGCTAAAATTTTACTTAGTTACTTAGTGTGGGCATATCCCAAACTAGGCAAAGTTTTATAACAGGGTCACCCTTGAAGTTAAGTCTGTTCTCCATTTGGGTTGTTGAATGTCACAAAAAGATGGTTAGTACTTCATACCGAAAGGGTAATTTACCCTAATCTTGCCCTGAGCTGTTACAAAAACATCTCCACAAAGATACCAAGTTCATTAATCCACCTAAACTGCTTCTCTAAGATAAGGGAAAAGAGACTAGGGGAAGCAAATGCCCAACTTCTATAAATTCAAAGTCACTGCCTATTGAATTTCCTACTCTAGCCTTTTTAGTTTGTTTTTGCATCTCTGGCACCTACCATAATGCCTTGGACATTAATTAGATGCTTAATAAATATTTGTTGATTTGGACATAAGAAGGAAAAGTTAGGGGAAATTTGGCTTCTGAACTCCTAGATTCCAGGTCTAATCAATAACTCATGCACATTGCACAAGGGCCCAGTATTTTTCCTTCGCTCTATTCCTTTGCATGTCCGTGTACTTTCCTCATCTGTGGGCAATAGCTTTGGGGTTTATTTATTTATTTGGATAAATAATTGCTAAACTTGAGTTTTCCTTTCATTAAGCAACATAACCTGGCCCAGCCCTCTACCCATGATTATATTTTCAGGTTTCTATAAAGACATTTAAAACTTTTATAAGTCTAAATTTTGACCAACTTCAGACATATCCTCTATTTATGTTGTTGCTTAGGGAACTAACTATCCCATGTGACCATGTTTCACCTGGTGCTGGAGGCCTTTCTTCATGAGGCCAATTAATAAATGAAGCTTTTATTCATACTTTTTGATGAGTTGATGTCAATGGTTGACTATTAATAGGTAGTTATTTTTTCCCTAATGTGAAGAGCTTGCCTTGATCGATCTACACCCATACCTTGCTGCATATATTCATAAGAAAGTTAAATACAGGTGAAATCAGAATCACATAGAAAAGATTAAAACAGCCATCTAATTCAACCCATACACAAAAGGAACCCCCACTATATAGCCTCTTCATGAATACTTTCTATGGAAGAAAACCCATCACATCTTTTTTAAAAATAGTATTTTACTTTTTTCAATTACATGTAAAGATAAAATTTAACATTCATTTAAAAAAAGTTTTGAGAGGCAGCTAGGTGGTGTGGTGGATAGAGTACTGGCCCTGAAGTCAGGAGGACCTGAGTTCAAATCTGTCCTCAGACCAAATACTTGGCCCCTTCTAGCTGTGTGACCCTGGGCAAGTCAGTTAACCCCAATTGCCTAAAAATAAATAAAATTAAAAAAAGTTTTGAGTTCCAAATTTTTCTCCCTCCCCTTGCCCCTTCCTAAAATAGTAAGCAATTTGATATAGTTTATATATGTTCAGTCATGTAAAACATTTCTACATTAGTAATGTTGTGAAAGAAAAAAACAGTCCTAAAAAAAAAACCACGAAGAAAATTAAGTGAAAGCAGTGTGCTTTGATCTGCATTCAGACTCCATCACTTCTCTGTCTGGATGTGGACAGCATTTTCCATCGTGAGTTCTTTGGAACTGTTTTGGATCATTGTATATCTGAGAAAAACTAAGTCATCTTTAGTTGATCATTGCACAGTGTTGCCGTTGTTATGTATAATGGAGAACCCATCCCACCCTGAGGCATCCCATTCCATTTTTGGTAAGCTTTAATTGTTAGGAATCTTTTCCTGACATGAAACCTAAGTTTACCTCCTTGCAACTTCAGCCCAATGTTCCTGGTTCTGCACTCTGGAGTCAAGTTTAATCCTGTTGTGACAGTTTTCAAATATTTAAAGACAACTATGTCCTCCCTGAGTAATGTATTCTCCAGGTCTATGATACCAGAGTCAAGAGAAGTTTGCTTATGATCCTATATAGGTATTTGTGCCATGAGACTTGGAGGGAGGGTATTTAAAATGCTTGAGAAAGACCAACCCTTGTTAAAGACTTCAGAAATATCCATTTATATATTGTGCCAATGATAAATCATTCTGACCTATTTATTAGCTAAGTTTCTAAGGATTTTGTACTGGACAACATGTTATTAGCCTAGTTGTAGTTACTTTGCATAAATATACTTTTATTTAACATTTATTTTCCAATTTAGTTTTTCACTAATTCATATCACTTCTATTTGAATTAGTGAGGATTTAGTGTATAATCTTGGATTTTCTA